TTTTGAACTGAAGGTACTTCTTTTTGGCGTCAGGGTACCACATTTTCTCTAAACACTTATTCATGGCGCTAATGGATTTATTTATGGATGTAATGTGCAACCTAATTAGCGGTGTGGGGTATAACCATTTTCAATTGCAAAAATAAATCTCTTTTGCAAAGGCACCACTTTTTTTCCAAAGGTACCATGTTATTGAACTAAATGTACCACTTTTTGGCGTCAAGGTACCATGTTTTCTCTAAACACTTATTCATGGCGCTAATGGAGCTATTTATGGATGTTATATGCAACTTAATTAGAAATGCGGGGTGTAATACCATTTTCAATTGCAAAAATAAGTCTCTTTTGCGGAGGTACCATTTCTTTTCCAAAGGTACCACGTTTTTGAACTGAAGGTACCACTTTTTGGAAAAAAGGTACCACGTTTTCTCTAAACACTTATTCATGGCGCTAACGGGAGCTATTTATGGGTGTAATGTGCAACTTAATTAGCGCTGTGGGGTGTAATACAATTTTCAATTGCAAAAATAAGTCCATTTTGCGAAGGTACCACGTTTTTGAACTGAAGGTACTTCTTTTTGGCGTCAGGGTACCACATTTTCTCTAAACACTTATTCATGGCGCTAATGGATTTATTTATGGATGTAATGTGCAACCTAATTAGCGGTGTGGGGTATAACCATTTTCAATTGCAAAAATAAATCTCTTTTGCAAAGGTACCACTTTTTTTCCAAAGGTACCATGTTATTGAACTAAAGGTACCACTTTTTGGCGTCAAGGTACCATGTTTTCTCTAAACACTTATTTATGGCGCTAATGGAGCTATTTATGGATGTAATATGCAACTTAATTAGAAATGCGGGGTGTAATACCATTTTCAATTGCAAAAATAAGTCTCTTTTGCGGAGGAACCATTTCTTTTCCAAAGGTATCACGTTTTTGAACTGAAGGTACCACTTTTTGGAAAAAAAGGTACCACGTTTTCTCTAAACACTTATTCATGGCGCTAACGGGAGCTATTTATGGGTGTAATGTGCAACTTAATTAGCGCTGTGGGGTGTAATACAATTTTCAATTGCAAAAATAAGTCCCTTTTGCGAAGGTACCACGTTTTTGAACTGAAGGTACTTCTTTTTGGCGTCAGGGTACCACATTTTCTCTAAACACTTATTCATGGCGCTAATGGATTTATTTATGGATGTAATGTGCAACCTAATTAGCGGTGTGGGGTATAACCATTTTCAATTGCAAAAATAAATCTCTTTTGCAAAGGTACCATTTTTTTTCCAAAGGTACCATGTTATTGAACTAAAGGTACCACTTTTTGGCGTCAAGGTACCATGTTTTCTCTAAACACTTATTCATGGCGCTAATGGAGCTGTTTATGGATGTAATGTGCAACTTAATTAGAAATGCGGGTGTAATACCATTTTCAATTGCAAAAATAAGTCTCTTTTGCGGAGGTACCATTTCTTTTCCAAAGGTACCACGTTTTTGAACTGAAGGTACCACTTTTTAGAAAAAAGGTACCACGTTTTCTCTAAACACTTATTCATGGCGCTAACGGGAGCTATTTATGGGTGTAATGTGCAACTTAATTAGCGCTGTGGGGTGTAATACCATTTTTAATTGCAAAAATAAGTCCCTTTTGCGAAGGTACCACGTTTTTGAACTGAAGGTACTTCTTTTTGGCGTCAGGGTACCACATTTTCTCTAAACACTTATTCATGGCGCTAATGGATTTATTTATGGATGTAATGTGCAACCTAATTAGCGGTGTGGGGTATAACCATTTTCAATTGCAAAAATAAATCTCTTTTGCAAAGGTACCACTTTTTTTCCAATGGTACCATGTTATTGAACTAAAGGTACCACTTTTTGGCGTCAAGGTACCATGTTTTCTCTAAACACTTATTCATGGCGCTAATGGAGCTATTTATGGATGTAATATGCAACTTAATTAGAAATGCGGGGTGTAATACCATTTTCAATTGCAAAAATAAGTCTCTTTTGCGGAGGTACCATTTCTTTTCCAAAGGTATCACGTTTTTGAACTGAAGGTACCACTTTTTGGAAAAAAAGGTACAACGTTTTCTCTAAACACTTATTCATGGCGCTAACGGGAGATATTTATGGGTGTAATGTGCAACTTAATTAGCGCTGTGGGGTGTAATACAATTTTCAATTGCAAAAATAAGTCCCTTTTGCGAAGGTACCACGTTTTTGAACTGAAGGTACTTCTTTTTGGCGTCAGGGTACCACATTTTCTCTAAACACTTATTCATGGCGCTAATGGATTTATTTATGGATGTAATGTGCAACCTAATTAGCGGTGTGGGGTATAACCATTTTCAATTGCAAAAATAAATCTCTTTTGCAAAGGTACCATTTTTTTCCCAAAGGTACCATGTTATTGAACTAAAGGTACCACTTTTTGGCGTCAAGGTACCATGTTTTCTCTAAACACTTATTCATGGCGCTAATGGAGCTGTTTATGGATGTAATGTGCAACTTAATTAGAAATGCGGGTGTAATACCATTTTCAATTGCAAAAATAAGTCTCTTTTGCGGAGGTACCATTTCTTTTCCAAAGGTACCACGTTTTTGAACTGAAGGTACCACTTTTTAGAAAAAAGGTACCACGTTTTCTCTAAACACTTATTCATGGCGCTAACGGGAGCTATTTATGGGTGTAATGTGCAACTTAATTAGCGCTGTGGGGTGTAATACCATTTTTAATTGCAAAAATAAGTCCCTTTTGCGAAGGTACCACGTTTTTGAATTGAAGGTACTTCTTTTTGGCGTCAGGGTACCACATTTTCTCTAAACACTTATTCATGGCGCTAATGGATTTATTTATGGATGTAATGTGCAACCTAATTAGCGGTGTGGGGTATAACCATTTTCAATTGCAAAAATAAATCTCTTTTGCAAAGGTACCACTTTTTTTCCAAAGGTACCATGTTATGGAACTAAAGGTACCCCTTTTTGGCGTCAAGGTACCATGTTTTCTCTAAACACTTATTCATGGCGCTAATGGAGCTATTTATGGATGTAATATGCAACTTAATTAGAAATGCGGGGTGTAATACCATTTTCAATTGCAAAAATAAGTCTCTTTTGCGGAGGTACCATTTCTTTTCCAAAGGTATCACGTTTTTGAACTGAAGGTACCACTTTTTGGAAAAAAAGGTACCACGTTTTCTCTAAACACTTATTCATGGCGCTAACGGGAGCTATTTATGGGTGTAATGTGCAACTTAATTAGCGCTGTGGGGTGTAATACAATTTTCAATTGCAAAAATAAGTCCCTTTTGCGAAGGTACCACGTTTTTGAACTGAAGGTACTTCTTTTTGGCGTCAGGGTACCACATTTTCTCTAAACACTTATTCATGGCGCTAATGGATTTATTTATGGATGTAATGTGCAACCTAATTAGCGGTGTGGGGTATAACCATTTTCAATTGCAAAAATAAATCTCTTTTGCAAAGGTACCATTTTTTTTCCAAAGGTACCATGTTATTGAACTAAAGGTACCACTTTTTGGCGTCAAGGTACCATGTTTTCTCTAAACACTTATTCATGGCGCTAATGGAGCTGTTTATGGATGTAATGTGCAACTTAATTAGAAATGCGGGGTGTAATACCATTTTCAATTGCAAAAATAAGTCTCTTTTGCGGAGGTACCATTTCTTTTCCAAAGGTACCACGTTTTTGAACTGAAGGTACCACTTTTTAGAAAAAAGGTACCACGTTTTCCCTAAACACTTATTCATGGCGCTAACGGGAGCTATTTATGGGTGTAATGTGCAACTTAATTAGCGCTGTGGGGTGTAATACCATTTTCAATTGCAAAAATAAGTCCCTTTTGCGAAGGTACCACGTTTTTGAACTGAAGGTACTTCTTTTTGGCGTCAGGGTACCACATTTTCTCTAAACACTTATTCATGGCGCTAATGGATTTATTTATGGATGTAATGTGCAACCTAATTAGCGGTGTGGGGTATAACCATTTTCAATTGCAAAAATAAATCTCTTTTGCAAAGGTACCACTTTTTTTCCAAAGGTACCATGTTATTGAACTAAAGGTACCACTTTTTGGCGTCAAGGTACCATGTTTTCTCTAAACACTTATTCATGGCGCTAATGGAGCTATTTATGGATGTAATATGCAACTTAATTAGAAATGCGGGGTGTAATACCATTTTCAATTGCAAAAATAAGTCTCTTTTGCGGAGGTACCATTTCTTTTCCAAAGGTACCACGTTTTTGAACTGAAGGTACCACTTTTTGGAAAAAAGGTACCACGTTTTCTCTAAACACTTATTCATGGCGCTAACGGGAGCTATTTATGGGTGTAATGTGCAACTTAATTAGCGCTGTGGGGTGTAATACAATTTTCAATTGTAAAAATAAGTCCCTTTTGCGAAGGTACCACGTTTTTGAACTGAAGGTACTTCTTTTTGGCGTCAGGGTACCACATTTTCTCTAAACACTTATTCATGGCGCTAATAGATTTATTTATGGATGTAATGTGCAACCTAATTAGCGGTGTGGGGTATAACCATTTTCAATTGCAAAAATAAATCTCTTTTGCAAAGGTACCACTTTTTTTCCAAAGGTACCATGTTATTGAACTAAAGGTACCACTTTTTGGCGTCAAGGTACCATGTTTTCTCTAAACACTTATTCATGGCGCTAATGGAGCTGTTTGTGGATGTAATGTGCTATTCAATTGCAAAAATAGGTACCTTTTGTAAAGGTACTACTTTTTTCCCAAAGGGACCACGTTTTTTGAACTGAAGGTACTTCTTTTTGGCGTCAAGGTACCACGTTTTCTCTAAGGAAGATCCAAACCAATTTTTCATTCATTAAACTATCCATTTATCGACACCATGGAACCAAGGAAGATCCAAACCAATTTTTCATTCATTATAAACTGCTTCAGTTTTAAACTCCATCAAATTTGAAATTAGTACATTAATATAGTAGTGAAAGAAATTTCATTGAGACCCTAATATAATAAGCCATACAATACTAATTCCTGAAAACCCAAAAGAGCAACTTCATTTGATTTCATGTAAGGTAGATGCCAATATAATAAGCCATACAATAGTTGCAAAAATATACCAACCTAATCCACAATCAAAAGTTGCAAAGCTACTATTCTTTAAAACTTTAAAAATAGCTAACACCAACAGAGTGCAAAATACATGAAAAAAAAAATGACACTATTCAACAATACAAATGTCCCATATCCCACATCATTTCAGGTACCACTTTTTAGAAAATTCAACGATCCTCTTATCCCACTTCCTCTAGCTTCCAACTGGGCAAATACTGGTATGTGAGGTTCCTTGAGGTAAATGGTACCTTGTTGGCTGATGGAGGTGATGTTAGAATCATAAAAATAGAAAAAATAAAAAAAATTACTAACCACAAGTAAGCTGATGGAAGCTTACTTGAAATCAACATGCTTGACCAAATGGATAAAGTGCTTTGTTCTTTACAAAATCCTTCATTTTGTTATTGTCATCTGAAAGCAAATTTGAAGCAATAATTGCACGTAATCTATCAACATCCACCTGCAAATTAAACCAGGTAAAGACAAATCATGAATATAGGATAGGGAAATGGACTTCATGCGTGAATACATATAAGTGTAAATAGATAGGAATCTAGTGTTGTAGAAACTATATATTTGATAAAGAAAACTTTTTCAACAATGTTGAATTTGGCATATGCACAAAATCTCGGTGATACTAAACTTTTATATGTGAAATATTGCATAAACAGGTAGCTTCATCCTTGGGAAATATGTTAGCAATTTGGTCAGATCAGCACAGAGACAGAACATAAACAAAACCAAAACAAATCTAATAATACGAAAGATCTCCCTGTCCCAAAATAGTTATCCCTTTTTACTGATTCCAAACACTCAATGGCACGCACCTTTTTTCTGACATTCCAAAAGTAATCTTAAAGTGACTATTTATTTTGAAATTTTTTAATTATTCATTTCAATATGTCGTAGTTTCAGTATCTTTTGTGTTCGGTTCATTTTTAATGAGCACCACTAAGTACAGTGAAGTGACCATATAAACTGCAATATGTTCATTTAAAATGACAGGAGTCCAGTATTTGCGTATCTAATTGGTTAGGTGATGTAGGAAAAACAAGGTTGACTGATGATTTAAGCTACTGATCTCATACTGAATTCTTTGACAATGAAAAACTGTCTGAAAATATTTAAGACTATGCTATTCATTTAAACCTCATCTAGCAAAGCTGGTTTCTACTCGATAGGACCCATTATACAGTGGATGTCAAACATTTTCTATATCATTCATTACATGGTTCATTTTATTGCTTACTTCATGTTAGATCCGTACTCACTAGAGCTGGATGCTTTCTCTTTCAAAAAAATGGCACACATTAAGGGTATACTACATTAGGGGGTTCTAAGGTTAAAAATTTTGTTGCCTAAAGGGGGTGCTTACCGCTCTCTTTGTTTCAACACGTGCCGTAGTCCCCTGGTCTTCCCGCTATTGACACTACGACATTGCAGCCTAGCGGGGAGAGATCGGAAAGCGAAGTACTTGCACACAAACATGGGTTTAAAAGATGCAAAAAGAAAAAAGAAAGGTATAAGCTGGAAAACGTGTAAAAACAGAATGGGGAGTGCAGTGAAGAGGAAGGAAAACGTTATAGTGGATGCATTTTGTGGTTGCATTAATTTTTTAAATTATGTTTGCATGTATTGGAATTGAAGACCCTCTAGTTTCAACCCTTGAACAAAAGTATGTAGGAATGTGGATCAGTTTTACAAATATATTTTTTGAAACCTTTAAAGGCAAGACCCATTTCTTCCTTTGAAGACTAATGACCAGTGGGTGCTTAGATTAACAATGCACCAATGGTTTAGAAGAAAACAGAGAATTAAATGATTAACGAAGAGTATCGAGGAGATTGTGTGATTTAGTAATTCGGTATTTTCTTCATTCGGGGAAAAAAATAAATAAGACCCATGTAAAAAATAGAATTGGGCTTCACCTTCTCTTTTGGGTGACTGAGTGAACCATCCCATTTCTCCATGAAGTCCAACATGAAAGCACCACAACTATCACTGAATAAAAGACTGTTTAGGTATCTGCTAATTATAATTGTGAACATAATCAGTACACCAAACTAGAAACATTAAGTGATAAAATTACCTATCGGGCTGTTAAGGTACGTTGGGCACATTGTATATGAAGTTTTGTAGATCTCTTCCGGTGAATATCTCAACCAACATTACCTACAAATGCACAATATATAAATGATTAGAGTAAAAAATTCAGTACCACGTTCTTCAACTTGTATACTTTACCGTCCTAATTTAACAGTAAATGAATACATAATCAAAAAAATGAGCTCATATGTAATAAGCGTTTACCAAATCTTTTGACATCTTGTCTGGAGTACGCTTATCATGCGAACATTGCTTCATTGAATCCAACACATCCATACGACTATCGCAAATGTTAAAGACATACAAGCACCAATGTTTCTCATTTACAAGTATTGGAAAGAAAAGCTGCATATTTAACAATGTAAAAATTTAATTACTTTTAGAATCATATTTTTTTGATAAAAGTATAATAATTATTTATGTTTGCAAGCGATAAATATTACCATATTGAATTGGCAAACTTTGTTATCATCGACATTCCTTATCCTTTTATACTTGTTCCAAACTGCTTGTATTTTACCTTTCCTATCAACCACTTTTGAAGGTATCTTGGAAAGTTCAATCTGAAAATGCACACAATTGATAACCTAATATGTGTCAAACAAACACTCACTATAGATAGAAGAATTTGTTACCCCAATCGAAGGCGGAAAGAAAAATTTGGTTCCTCTACGCTTTTGTTTCAGCTGGAGCATTTGGCAATAGACTTCAACCACCTACAATGATCACATTTAAACCATTAATGCATGCGTGTGATTGGTTTGAAAAATCAATGAACTTTAAGTGAACATACCATATTTGATATCTAATGATTGTAAGAGATTGTTCTCATCTCTTTTCTTGTGAGGAAAATATCATTTATGTTCACCAGCATTTCACTATAATTAAACAATAACATATTAAGTGTTTGAGCATAGAAAGTAAGTAAATATAGAGCAAATAAGAAATTATTTATATAATTTCTCACTCATCATTTCTGCTCTCATCCATGGCATATGAGATGACTGCCTTTGCTTCTGGACGAAGGACACGCAATCGGTTGACCTTCATTTCAACCCAAGGTGATCCGTTATGGCGCCCAGGCTTTATAACACGTAATAAAGGGATCACTGCTTCCTGCACATCACGCTCCTCTTCCATTGCTGTGGAGGTTCCCACTTCCTCCTCCATTGGTGCGGGGATTTCTCCTTCCTCCTCCATGGGATCGTGTGTTGTAAAAGATTGCCAGGGTGAGTTTGCTTGTCCTGTGGAGGTTTCGAATTCCTCCTCCACTGGTATGTGGGATTCATCTTCCTCCTCAATCGGATGGTGTTGTGCAAACAATTACGAAGATGGGTTAGGTTGTCGTGTGGATGAACTGGGTTCTGAGGATCTCGACCCCCTGCCTTGGCCTACATTGTGCCGTTGCTTCCATTTCTTAACAACTTTAATAATTTCATATGCCAACTCCTAACAATTTTAAACAAGTTTAATAAATATATATATCAGTTAATATATAAATGTAACCGTAGAGTTCCAAGTAATTATGAATATGCAAATATAACCGTATATTTAGTACCAATTATAAAAAGCCATAATTGACGTGATTACCTTATCGGCATCTTCAGATGTATCAGTTGTAAACTTTACCTCACCGAAGCCGAAACCATTATATTTATGCTTCTCCAAATTCAACCTCTCGCCTATTAATTTGTTGGTCCATCCACGTACGCATGACATCTCAGGCTTCGGTTTTGGTCCATTGACATCCACACGGTGTAGGTAGAAAAGCTACAACATATAAGCCATTATGATAATGACATTATAGCTATTTAAAATAAAATGATAAACACATTACAAATATTATATCTTAGAACATACCATGAGAAAGAACAAGCATCCATGTATGTATGTACAACCTTCTCTTCCTTCCTTTCCTTTATAGGACGCAATTCCTTTTTTCAACCAATCTAAAACAAACTTCCCCCAATTATATGATTTAATAGCATCCACATTGTCAACCGCTGCCAATAACCTTTTGCTTGTCTCATTTTTCGATATGGGTGCTAGAAGTGATCCGCAAGCGAAAAGGACAAAAGCCCTCTTGAAGTCATCCCCAACAGGAAGAACGTCTAATTGATGCACTAAGTTTGGCACTTCTATTACACCGTCCTTTAAAAAAATGCCATTTTCTAACCAATGCACACTTTGTACAATATAATTTGGCACATCTTATCCTCTTCCCGAGGGTAGGCCAAGTACCTCTTCAACGTCAAAGTGTTCTACCAACCATAAGCACAGGTTGCGTTTCAAAATGGTACACTCGATGTCTAAAAGGGACCCAAACCCAATCTCTTGTACGGCAACCTTTTTGTCTTCACTTAAATTGCAAACCGTTTCCTTGAATTTATTTGGAGAACACCGGGTATTCAACATCTACAAATAAATTACCAACACAGGCACATTAGATACAAAAAGGAAGGATAGAGCACATATATGGACATAACAGTCCAACTTAAATTTACCAATTTGCACTTCTACACATTACATGTTGAAAAGATTCAATCTCAAATCTGCTAGCTTACAAAGGCACTTGGGAGTACTCATATATTCCTAATTCATTAATTCAATACACATTCTTCGGAATTAATCCAACTAAGCACGTTAATGATAGGTAAAACACACAAAAAGAAGCATATATAAAGCATCACTTAACCCAATCGAATAGATAAAAGGAAAAAAAAAAAAACACTTACAGTTTTTATTTTTATTTCTTTTATTGAAATTGTTGAAAAGTTCTTTTCCTTGGATGTTAATGGTCGTATGGCTTACCTAATAAGGGAAGGAGGAAGGATCCAATGTCCTCATACCATTTGTTATAGGAATGAAGGTTCTACCTCGTATTTTTAATTAGAGAATAACTCTAGGGGGTTTCGATTACCATTGGAAATGCTCAGCTCAGAGGATAAGTAATGGACCTTTTTGTTGATGATCTTATGTTAATCGCAGCTGGGATGTTGAATCTGTTAAAATACTGACAGAATCAATAGCTCAATTTAGTTTTAACTTCTATTTCTAGCTTGATTCCAAATAATGCAAAGAGGTGTCATATTCTGATCTGGTATAGAGACTGCTACTCAAAACCTAATTCTCAGAAAGCTTAATTTCTCTATTAGGACCCTCCCAATTAGATATTTGGGAGTTTTATTATTGTCTAATAGACTGAATAAGCAGCACTGTGATCCTTTAATTGAGGAGTTTTGGACTACCAACTACTCATTTTGTGCTGGAAGGTTACAACTTATAAAGTCTATGCCATTCTCAGTGCAAGTTTATGTGGCTTCCCCCTTTGAATCTAGGACATTCAAAATTCAAACACACAATCAATTACCAATTAAGCACCCAAATTGGCCCACAAATATTAATAACATCAGTTTCTCGAGTCAAATAAATAAGTTAAGAATTATCCTTTTTCAAATAAAGTTTTATGACAACACCATGATAATGATGATTTTTATTTTTGGGAAGCACTGGAAGTGTTTTTGTTGCTTCTACAACTGAATAACTACACAAATCTTTCAACTTTCAAGCACAAAAACACACACACAAAAGAAAATAAAAAAATAAAAAAATGAAAATTTTGTTGTTTATATATTAATAAATTTTGTTACTTTATATTGTACTTTGTTTCATATACAATTGGGTGCCTGTCTTAATTGACAGATTTATGCTTCATGCGGTTAACATCCAATTTATTATTAGCATGAAAAAAACTGGAATAAAAAATATATATATATATATTTAAATAATTAAAGATATGACTTACCAGTATGAAGTGATGAAAGCACTCTAAAATATGGTAAGACCGTAGGGTGCTGCAATTGTAAAAATTATAATCCACAATAAGGGCCTTCAGCTTGTTCAAGACTAAAGTTCAACCCAAATTTACCAATTAGTCTTTCAAATCCTGCAAAGGGAGATCCTGTTTCAGTCATTATCTTCACAAATATTTATAACTAAAATTCATAAAAAAAAAAGTATATAAAAAAGATCATAAAAATTTTCACCAAATAGGATTTAGTTTGCAAAACAAGAATTACAGTTACAAATCTCAGAACAAGATAACCATAAACACGAGAAGCTAGAATGAACACGAACAGTCATCTTAAGACATATACACCAACTTATTAACTATTAATAGAAAATCGAACATGACACAGATATTCAAATTTATAAGTCCAGTCTTCATTTAAGCTGAGTCTTATGCAGTAGTTATGCTACAAAATAGGAACCACATGCTTTAGCTTTTATGTTACTATAATTATAAATTAAGGAAGGCTATTCTAAGTGTAAAGAAATAAGAAAGTGTGCATCAGAAACAAAGAAATAAAGAAAGAATTAATGAAAGAAAATAGAGTTAGCATGCTTAGGAATGCAAGGCTCTCTTCAAACTGGCAACTGTATGCTAAACTAAAAACTACTTCAACCCTTGTTTTCTTTAGATATACTCTTGTTGAAACTCAGAATTTGTAATTTGGTGGTTTGACAAATCTCACACATACATGTTACTTTCACAAAAATATGTGTACATGAGTCCAGTTAACTGATGGGAGATATTCTGATGACGTTTTCTTGAGTCTCCGTTCAAGTTTCAAGCTTAAATAATTTATCCTATCATGAATTTATAAATAAGGTCACATCAAATCCAACTTCTAAATATTAATTTTTTTGTCTTTCTTAAAGGGCAATAAGAAAATTGAAGACCCAATCAGGGTCATCTCTCCTTTCTGCATTTCGATCAGCAAAAGGAGAAAAGGTTTTGGAAGTGGAAGGGACAATCACCAGCGAGCCGGTTCTTCAAGACGTGGGAATTTCTACATGGCCTAGTATATTTTTGTGATAGTTCAACTCTTTAGTATTCAAAATGCTACTTTATATATATATATATATATATATATATATATATATATATATATATATATATTTGATAAAAAAAAAGGGGTCAGGTGACATGGTGAAAGCTTAAACTGGCCACTATAAGGAAACATATTTAAGTATGAGATCAGCCATTTTGTAGGCTGTAAACAAGTTGAGTCAAGCCAACTTTATAGAGCTTATGCTCAGCTTGGCTGGTTAGAAGCAGTGTCTGAGCTTAGTTTGAGCTTGGTTAATTTTTTAACAGTTGTGATCAAACTTGACTCACTCAAATAAACCAATTACTCAGCTCGGTTCGCATAAATGAATTGAGTTCTTAAGAAGTTCTGGAGGATGGGAAATTTGGAGCCTTGTTATCATAATTGTTAGTCAAAATAAAATACGCGCGTCATGCTTTGCAACTTCTCACTGTTGGAGCAAAAGATTGAGAAAATGTGTCTGTGTGACTGTAGATTCTTAGTTTTAATTGTTGATTAAATTTGGACCATTGACTTCTTTTTCTGTAAACAAATGAATATCAAATCTAAAAGATAGGTGAAACGCATGAAAAACTTAAATTAACAGGATAATCTGCCAAGGAATGCTCTACGATGTCTCTAAATGCTAGTTCAAAGTTTCAAATTATGTATCCACATAAGGTATAAAGGAAAAAACAATCATGAGACTTGCTACATCAACAATATTCAAACATACATACAATAATAACAACGAAATAGTAAAAAAAGGTTTAATAATTGCTGTACCACTTTCACAAGTGATTGACATTTGCAATAAACTGTACATTATGCATAAAAAGGCTTCCTAATAACTATTGGAAAATCTGAAAATTTGGATACAAGTCCATTCAACCAATCTTTTCCTAAGTCCTTATACTTTATCCTATGTTTGGTTGCCAAGAAATTGGGAAAACAAGAAGAAATTAGGAAACATGGAATCTTGTAACAATTCTACTCCTTTATAGAAACTTGTTAATCTTAAAGTTTTTCTTCTTTCCTTATTTTCTCTGCTACCAAATAATGGACAGTTCAAAATTGTTGTGTTCTAGCCTAATTTAACCTACATCTTAACTTAAAAAGTCCAAGCAATGACTTAAACTTTTATAAAAGACTGGGATGATCAATACCAAAGTCCATGCCTTCTAGCAAACAAATTTAATGACATAGCTAGCCCTTTGTCCTACATTGTTAATTCTCAACATACACAAAGAAACATCATCCACATATGCTGCAAAATGAAATTTTGCATATACACCATTATTAGTAAGACAAATCCAACAAAATGAGATTAATTAATCAACAATAATCTACTTATCCTAAATTATTTTTCAGTCAACTTGTTCATTTTATAGAGAAAAGAGTATCACCCAGTGGCCTAATTGATAGAGTGGCCAGCTTCCTGTGTTCGAGTCCTTTCTCCTTCTAGTTTGCCAAGGAAAAAAAAAAATAGAGAGAAAATACCATTTTCATGGCTGGGAATAACATGCACTTCTACTGTTACGTTATTAGAAATAATTGTACTTTAGCTTGATGGAATGTCTGGAACAAAATTTTAGCAACTTGAGGTATAAAATCTACAAAAGAAGTACATTATTCGCTTGGAATTCAACATTTTAATAGAAAGAAATCTTTAGTATGCATATGTTTCTGGTAAGGGGAGAAAATTGTGACATTTCAGTAATCAAATAGGCATAATATGGAATCTAATCCCTAATAATTGAGAAGTAAAGTCATAAGATTAAAGATGCAAAACTAAGACAAAGATGAAATAATTAACACATTTATTGTATAAGATAACTGCAATTGTTGGTAGAATATATCAACTACTTATTCCTATATAAGAGATTATACCTAGTTGATACTTCCATAATCATTATCTTCACCTTCTCACCAAAATTAAAGCACGTATGTAAAAAGCATGCTATTAACCACCATTAAACTTAACTAGAAAACTTAAAAATAATATTTTTGGAGTAATTATCTAAAAAACAAAAGTGACTAAACAAGATTCTTGAAATTGTACCAAATAATTGAAGAAATATAATGTTAGTATCATTATTGGAGGTAGTGCATACTATATCCCAGGAGGTAGTTAGTAGCCAATACATATATACTCCATATCTTGTAGTAAATATTTTGTAGCCGTAGTTCCTTATTTTGTAGCAGATTAAGGTACTACTTCTTTCCGATATTCCCTATGGCAACCACTTAGTTATCGCGTATGTGTCTAACTTCTGGCTATAAAATAGCACTTTTAACTACACAGTCAGACATAGCATAGGTACGTAGTCTCTTCTATACATACCAATATTGAAGAGCTTCTTCCTTACATAACTACTACTATATTAGGAACTACTTGACT